TAACTTAGCTATATACTTTTTGTCAAATAAATTTAATTATATATATCGACTTTCAAAGAACTCTCGATCCAATTATCATGCCTACAACTATTGTACGCATCGAGAAACAATGATGATCAGTGGCTTTGGAAGTGGATCTAGTTAACATATGAAAGCCCAACAAAGTACCAATATAATCTTGGACTATTACACGCTGCCCAATCCTAAGCCCAAGACCAAGACCAAGACTAAAACCAAGCTTAAGCCTAAATCCTATCCTAAGCCCAATCCCAAGCCTAAGCTCATGCCCATCTTAATATTAATGTTGACATAAAGATGGTACAGGAGGGAGCACAGCGCTGTAAAAGCCATGGGCCATGGGAGAAACCCTGAGTAGTAGGAGTTTTGCATGCGCATTCGCTAGGCCGAACCTTTAAATAGAATCAAACTGGCATTGTAATGCAATACAACACATAACCAGAAGAATTGGCCAAAAAATGATAAAACGAACACAAAGTTGTCAATGGAAGATCACTGACCATTAACAATACATGAACTGAAGATGGCCGAAATCAAGCTCACTTGTACTATATCAGCAGGTATTATATTCACGTGAACTTCTCAATTATAAAAAATTATAGTTTATGCTCTGCGAATAAAATACACATAACAAACAAATCACATCAGAATTAATCTTTTTTTCTCTTTTAAGCCCGCAAAACCTAATACAACCATTGGAGAGTTTTCAGTCGACATCACACTAGTGTCCCCTCACCTTCAAATTTCTATTTTTTTTTATCAATTTTTACGGATCTCGAGCCACCTTTTTTCTTATTTTTTATTTTTGCGCAATAAAAAAAGGGTCCTTTAACCATCTCCAATCTCAGTCAATTAACAAAAGTAGGCATCTCCCAGAGGTTAGCTTCTTGTTTACCCTAAAACCAAACTATAACAAGTCATTGGGTCGCTGCAAGGGCAAGATATATAAGAGGAAGCATAGAATTAATATACATAGAACTACTTTACTTCTTCTTAGATGCCTAAATTCATACCCACATTTGGTTCCATAAAGATGAAACATATCTGATCCTTTCGAATATGATCACCAACATATTCCAATTGGTCAGAAGTTTAAAATTGACCCAGATACTCCTTAAAGGCAATCATATAAGTTTATTCCACATGAATACCTAAGTCTCAACATAAATTACCTACATTTGACCAGACTAAAAAAAGAATTAATCAAAATAATCAAAGATATTAATCGAAATACACATAAACCGACCCTTTAAACCAAAAAAAAAAAAAAACTTGATACCAAGTTGACACTACAAAATATATGCCCAATCAGCCGAGAAGCCTGAGTCTCTATTACCCAATCACAAGATTGCAATTTCTTATGGCTGATACCTACACCTCATACGTCTATCTCCTTATCTTTTGCAACATTTGATTCCATCGCAAAAAAGGACCCTTCTATTCGTTTTTAAAATGACGATTCAACAATTGGAGATCATTCCCTTTCAAATATTTTTTTTTGCCCTTTTTCAAGGATCCCCTATTGGTGTGATTCTCTAGCTTTCGTTAGCAGATGAGTGGAGCATGTACAGTATGCAGTCCTTCAAATTCATGCCGACTGTTTCAAGATTTGCAATCCTACTGACAAGATGGTTTTAATCCATGTAAAACTATTTTCTTATAGTTGAGAATCATTTCAACCACACATTCTTTGGACTCATGACTGCTACATAGACGGAAAATGTGTCTATCAAACTAACCAACATATCTCTTCCAAAACTCGAATTAAGAATCTTGTGATATAGACGAATAAAGTTATGCCCTTCGAATTCAATGAATGTTATTCAAGTACGTAATCTTCACATTTTGATTAAGGCCTTATGTGAACCATCCAATATTGGGAAAACCAGGCAGAAGTGTAGATCAGATCATACGTAAGGACCACATAGGACTTATTTAGAGTTTGTTTTTTTAGGTGAAAATTGTAATTTGAAAAGTTCCGCAAAAAAGTCAAACTTAAAAAAATTCCTCAACCATTTTTGGGGTGTTCATTAAAAAATTAAAAAAGTTAGAAAAATCTGTTTAAAGTGATTTTCTAACTTTTTTTGGGTCAAAATAAAAAATAATTGCATATATGTATAGATTATGTATAATAATTTCCAAAATACGAATTTCAAATTTTTTTACGTCACTAATAATATTTTATAAATATAATTAACTAAAAAATTATGTGAAATCCACAACAAAACTCTAACAAGTTAAAATAAAAATTTATAAAATCAGTTTCTTAAATCAACCCAAATAAACCTTTTTAGGTCCAAAAAACTATTGTATAAGCTGATAAAAAAAAATAAAAGTTCAACTAGACCCAACTTATTTTACTCCAAAATCCGTAAAAACTACCTATTTAAGCTAGTTCCAAACATGTTCCTATAGCCCAAAAAAACAAGGTGCAAGGGGTTAAAAGGGGGGAATCCATAGGCACAACTTTACCTGGGATGATAAGGGTTCCAATATCAAATGAAGGTTGTAATCTGGTACAGATTCTTTAGCGCATTTTCCTGAATATCAACTATGAACAGCGCCCTCCACCTGCATGTGGGCGGTATCTCCAAGCCAAGGACCAACGCAACTTGTTTTATGGGGGCCACATAAAAAATGTTGATAAACTGTTGCATGGCATAAGAATTTCACCTTTCATTCCTGGTTGGTAGTTAAGAAGGTGACTAAGTCGTGGATTCAAGTTCGAAAATCAAAGTCTACAAAACGGAAATCAGACTAGCTACTAAAGTGAGATTGCCTACCACTACCACTGATATCTTATTATAAATAGAAGCCCTTTGCACCGAAAACGAATTATTTTTAGCCTGGTAATCCTGATAGAAATAAGAAACTGGATTTAAACTAAAAAATCAAAGAATATAATCTTACAAGTTGGCAAGTGTTCTTTTTTTTTTCTTTCTTACGTAAGGCATGCTTTAATGTTACCTGCTTCATGGTTGACTGTTTGATCTGAACCCACCCGAAGATAGAAAGCTTCAAGCACCTCTGCCCCAAGATTTGCTTAATCCCAACAATTGCTGGGAAATCCTCCAAATTCATATTACATGAAACCCGCAACCATCAAACCATTAACACCACCAATAGAGACCACCTGAGGAGGATAACAGCTTCTATTAGGAAAACATTACTTCAATGCTTCTGTTCTGGACAAAAGTTTGAAAGATCAATGCTGCTGTTGGAGCAGAAACCCATAAATAGGAAAAGAATAAAAGGTATTGAAGCAGAACTATGAACATCAGTCAGATATTTAACCCATGACCAGATCACAAAAACTTCTCAATCAAAGACAATGAATCCATCAATATCAAAGTTTAAGACAGTTGAATGAAGATACACCTTTGCAACACAGATAAAATTGCAATATAAGACGGTCAGGAGAAATTTCTGCTGTGAAGATGGTCCATTTTTTTTTTCAATGATGAAGCAGATCTTTAAAAAAAACTGTAAATTGTTGTTTGATACCTTTGATTCCACATTTTGAATACAGTGAAAGCATAAAGCTCTTGCTGAGAAAAGATCAATGTAACTGATTTCAGAAAAAAAAAAAAACAAGGTGGCTGTTTTCAAAAAATGGTGGCCAATCACAGTCAACTTGAAATATTTGATCTCTATTCTCTGCTATAATATTCGTGCAGAACCTCATTAATTTGAGGAGGAGAATCCCATTGTAACCAGGTTCCAGCAATTCTTATTTCCTCCCTTGGTGAAACTATCACTTGGCAAAATACTACTACTTGAGTTACCCACAAAAAAAACTGACACAGAATCTCCTAAAAGAGCATCAGCTGTGGCTGCTGTTGATTCAAAAACAAGTGGAAAATACCGTACCTTACGGTCTTAGCTAACCACAAGGAAAGAAACCTTTAGAATGTTGCTCAGAACATAAAAACTCACCATTTCCAAGTCTCAATTTAATAATGCTGTGTTGTGCACAACTAAAGGATAAACTTCAAAGGAAGAAACAGAAAATAAAGGATAATAAAAAGAGAGATGGGCCAACTTTTTTCCATTTTTCATTTTTCGGGTCATGGTTTTTTCTTTCCAATGGCAACAGCATAAAGATACAGCACCACCATTTCAACATTGGATATACAACCGTTAGGAGGCCTGGCACATTAGTTGACATGCTGAGGTACCAAGGTTAACATTGGACAAGAGTAGGCAGAGTTTCATCAAGCCCCATTGGTAAGTGTAATACATAATTATCCTATTTTTTTCAGAAGAATCATCATCCTAATCAATACACCGCTCAGTAACCACTTCTGAAATAAGTTTTGCAAACATATTTAATTACCAGTTTACCAATATAGTGTAGGAATAATGCATTTATATGTGTGCATATGTAGACTATTATACATGCAACTAAACATAGAGAAATGGAAAACATTCGGACAGGGAAAAAACAAAACTGCAAAACCATAAGATACTGGAAAAGCAAAATAAGAAAAAAAATACTAAAGCAGAAAACATTACAAACAGTACCCCAAAGGTTTTGTAATGAGAGAAACAATATCCCACCAAAAGAGAGTAGAATATCTTCATGACTTTTTTGTGGCGTAGGAACTGATTATCTTGGCACATATGTCTTAATGCATAAGCCTGGAATTGGGGGATCTAATCCTACCAGCTGGGGGAACTCTCTGGGAAGTCCACTTGCTGATGATGTTATAAAAGCCAAGAAAAGGACTTTTCAAGAATTCATAAAGAGCTTGTCCTTTGACACTCTTCAGTGATTCTGCTCCACCTCTTGTCTTTCTTAGCCTTGCTTAATTTTGTGGCTCCTGAGAAAACAAATCATATTTTACTGTAGCTAGCTTCTAAGGATCTAAAAATATTCGTCAACTTGCTCCACCCCACCACAATGCGCACCTGCTTATAAAGAGCTAGCATAGCACTCTCTTCCCCATACCATCTACTTCACTTCAGTCTTTTCCCTTGACTGAGGCAGCTCTTCTCTCTCTTTCTTTCCAAGTTTCTTTCCCTTTTCAGGACTCTTTTTGCCTTTGAATTTCCAATTGATTTCTTAACTCCAAATACAGTCCTTCCTATTATTATCATCCACTTTTGCTTCTATACAAACCTAGCTCCAGATTTCAAAAATCATACTAAGACCTATGGCATCAAACTCAATTACGTCTTCACGTAGCACTTGGACACCAAAGCAGAACAAGCAATTCGAAGAGGCTTTGGCTTTGTATGACAGGGACACCCCTGACCGCTGGCCAAACATAGCCAGGGCTGTGGGTGGGAAATCAGTGGAGGAAGTGAAGAGGCATTACGAGATCCTTGTGAAGGACATCATGCAAATAGAATCTGACCAAGTACCTTTACCCAATTACACGGCTGCTGGAAGCAATGGTAGAGCATTTGCCAATGAACAGAGGTAGTGTAACTTGCACCAATGATCTCTTTTACGAACTAATTTCCAATATAATTTGCCTTCTTCCTCTATACTAATTTCGAATATAATTTGCCTTCTTCCTCTAAACTAATTTCCAATATAATTTGCCTTCTTCCTCTAACAATACCCTTAGGGTCCCTTAAATACATCAGACAAAAAGATCCAGGTGATTCCCACAACTTTAAACATTTTCTAGTTTTCATGAGCAGTATGCATGAAAACAATTTACGAAACTTCTTAATGCGTCTAATGGAACATGATCTAGAACTAATAACTAATATCATCCAAGAAGCACATATGAAATGCAGATCATGTTAAAAATGCCTATGTTCTAAAATGCTTCATTCTCATTGTCCGCTAGATTTTTCAGCTATGAGTTCCATTACTAGCAGGCTGGTGAATAAAGTCAAAATCAGTCACTGAACCTCATCACAAGTCTATATATCAAAACATATATATGTATGTATGCATGAACCTATTTTGTGATATTTTATTAGGTTTTACATTAATCTATCCAAGTTCCTGAAAGAAACCACATGAAATCTAATCCTACTTCTATTAGATAACATGCACATGGGCCAACGCATTAATTAAAGCTGCGACTGTCTCATTATAATTTGTAATAAACTAGTGACTGCTACCTGTCTCCACAATGATCACCATATGATGCTTCATTAATCCCAAACTTCTGCTCAGGCCAACAGTTCATGCATCCAGCAGAATCGTTTAACAGCGTTCACAGTTACATTAAAAGAATTCACTTTGTAAGTTGTAACAACAGCTTTTTGTCGGCTAGTGTAAGGCCACCTTTCCGATGGGATGCTATTTCAAAAGGCTTGTATTTACATGAACATGTTCAACTATAGAACTAGGGTTCTGAAGAACTAATGCTTCTTGTTGCATTCTGTTTGTGTCCTGTCAACAGGCTTCTGAAGAACCTAAAACTGCAGTAATGCAGAAGTTGCTACTACATGATGGGTGAAACCTACCAGATGATCCGTAAAAAGGAGATGCAAAACTATTAAACAAGTATATCGTGTGATATGGTTACTATGTCCTCGTTTGATTCTATCGTCCTTGTGCGGTTGAATCAGTCTAATTAACGCCACAATTGTGTACTAATAACTCTGTGTATATCTCCAAGCAATTTCTGTTGTAATGTATGTTCTAGTTTGAAATGTATCGTTTGTATTTTGCGTTTCCGATCCTACATCTTACTTGCATTTCACATATTTTTTTTCCGTAAAGAACAATCAATTCAGTAAATAAAAAGAGAACATAAAACAACAATTACCTCAGATTCGATTCTCGCAGAAAGAATGAAAAATCTTCATTTTTCTATTGAAGATCCTGATTCAAGAATGCACAATCATCTGAAATATGATAATTAAACAATTCCTGATCTAAAATAGGAACTAAATTCCACGAATATTAGATTGTGTGATCACTGACCTTCCTGTAAGTCATAACGAATCTGGAAATTGGAGATCAATAATAGCTAGATGAGAAGCTATGAATGATTTGAAAAGAATGATTGGAGCCTGATGCTTTCAATCAGAGATATAGGCGGGAAAGTTAAGTCGGTGGGGGGCACGACCCGGATCGAACCAGAACGGATATATATAATGGCGGGAACATGAAACGAGTTGCAAAAGCTATTGAGATGAAAAAAAATTTATTAATAAAAAGTTAATATAGGGAACGGATTTCTAATATAAAACAAAGTAGGGTTCAATAAATCTATTTAATAACCTCAAATAAATTTATTTAATAATTATTAACATGTTTCTCAAAATCATTCACATTGATTTATGTTAAACCGTGTTTTCAAACACAGATTACCCCTAATTTTTTTATAACACTATAACAAAACTCACTATTTTAGTAGAAATAAATTTTTATAGTGAATAACATTTAATGGAGAATATACGTGTGTCGATTTTTCCTTCAATAAATATAGAGTAGAGAGCGAGTTTCGCTCTGTAAATAAAAATATTCAAATTGAGCTCGTAATTTTAGCTAGTATAAATATAAAATTTATTTGATATGGTTTTTTAAGGATTAATTTTTTTAAATAGAGAATTAAGTTATAATAGAAAGTCTATTAAAGCGACTCTTATGCTTCATTCATAATGTTGTGAATAACTCTTTGATATTGTAACTCGTTTTTTAATTTGATGAAAACATGACTATTTTGAAAGGAGCCCAAAAAAAAAAAGGATTTTATTATTTTTTTTTGTTTTATGATTTTTGTGATCAATTTCAAAACAATCATGACAAAAATATATGGGTAGTGAGAATTTTAGATATGAATTTGCAAAGTGGTCTTAATGCTCATATTTTACTATAAACTACTTTTTTTTTTGGTCGAATATATAAACTTTCATTAATTAAAAATCAGAAAAACATATTTTTACAGTGTAAATTCACCCAATTCCTATTCTTTGAGAAATATTTGTATCAACTGTTTTGGAGAAGAAATCTTTACAACTATAAGCTACTTAGTTATGGAAAAATTGGCAGGTTTTGTTGGACAATTGATGTCGTTGTGATTCTACGAGATCATCATTTTCGTATAAAAGAATAGATTCACGGACCTATTGATCGAACTATAAATGTTTCTAGCTCCAGTTTTAGGTAAACTTCTCCCAATTATGTCTAGTAATAGAATAGGGCAGCTTGCTTATCACACAAATTAGCTAGTGTCAATACATGAACAAGTTTTATATAATTGAAAATAAATCGTGTCTAACTCATATTTATGGTAGTTAATCAACAAAGGAAGAAAACGCGAAAAAAAATGTCCACGAAGATGTCACTCAATACTACATGATCTATAGTCACTATAAGAAAAAACAGTAATTGGTGGTATTTAATCACTGACGTTAGTCACAAACACCGTTTAATTGGTTTACCATCGCAACAAAAAAAATGTCTTCGATTGCCTGGACCCAACTAGAGCCTAATTTGAATTTTGTAGTTCAACTTCAATTTGAATTTCAACCCAAGTTATTAACCTTAGAATCAAACATGAAGTAAAGTCAAAGTAATCCAAATTGTATAACTCTAAGTTCAACTATTTTATGTCGGTATTGTAGACAAATTCATTATTTGTCACTTTTATATATATTTTTTATCACTGTTATAGTAACTATTTTTATAACTTATCTTCTGTACAAAAAAAATTACCATTTTTATAGGTAATTTATCATATTTGTCAATATTTTTTACCATTGTTGTGGATATTTTTACTACTGTTGTGGTAATTATTTTTATCATTTTTTTTCGATATCACAATAGTGATAAAAACACCTACAACAGTAATAAAAATATCTACAAATGTAATAAATGTTGGTAGGGTACCAAAAAAAGATTTGTTGCTACCGTGGATGAATTCATAAAATTATAATAAGAACGTCCTATACGCCACATTTGACATATTTTTTCTTGTTGCTACCACAATTTAAATGGCTTTAATACAACAATACTATTTAGACATAATTTATTGATCTAATCTATCGTAATGAATTTTACTATCAATTCAATAATTATGAATAATTAGGCCATCAAATTAGGTTCAAATAGTATAGTTCGGCTTTAATGATGGCCACATAATATAGTAGTGTCAAATTTCATGTACTTACGTTAATGAAACATAACATTCTGACACAACATTTNAGTGGTCTTAATGCTCATATTTTACTATAAACTACTTTTTTTTTTGGTCGAATATATAAACTTTCATTAATTAAAAATCAGAAAAACATATTTTTACAGTGTAAATTCACCCAATTCCTATTCTTTGAGAAATATTTGTATCAACTGTTTTGGAGAAGAAATCTTTACAACTATAAGCTACTTAGTTATGGAAAAATTGGCAGGTTTTGTTGGACAATTGATGTCGTTGTGATTCTACGAGATCATCATTTTCGTATAAAAGAATAGATTCACGGACCTATTGATCGAACTATAAATGTTTCTAGCTCCAGTTTTAGGTAAACTTCTCCCAATTATGTCTAGTAATAGAATAGGGCAGCTTGCTTATCACACAAATTAGCTAGTGTCAATACATGAACAAGTTTTATATAATTGAAAATAAATCGTGTCTAACTCATATTTATGGTAGTTAATCAACAAAGGAAGAAAACGCGAAAAAAAATGTCCACGAAGATGTCACTCAATACTACATGATCTATAGTCACTATAAGAAAAAACAGTAATTGGTGGTATTTAATCACTGACGTTAGTCACAAACACCGTTTAATTGGTTTACCATCGCAACAAAAAAAATGTCTTCGATTGCCTGGACCCAACTAGAGCCTAATTTGAATTTTGTAGTTCAACTTCAATTTGAATTTCAACCCAAGTTATTAACCTTAGAATCAAACATGAAGTAAAGTCAAAGTAATCCAAATTGTATAACTCTAAGTTCAACTATTTTATGTCGGTATTGTAGACAAATTCATTATTTGTCACTTTTATATATATTTTTTATCACTGTTATAGTAACTATTTTTATAACTTATCTTCTGTACAAAAAAAATTACCATTTTTATAGGTAATTTATCATATTTGTCAATATTTTTTACCATTGTTGTGGATATTTTTACTACTGTTGTGGTAATTATTTTTATCATTTTTTTTCGATATCACAATAGTGATAAAAACACCTACAACAGTAATAAAAATATCTACAAATGTAATAAATGTTGGTAGGGTACCAAAAAAAGATTTGTTGCTACCGTGGATGAATTCATAAAATTATAATAAGAACGTCCTATACGCCACATTTGACATATTTTTTCTTGTTGCTACCACAATTTAAATGGCTTTAATACAACAATACTATTTAGACATAATTTATTGATCTAATCTATCGTAATGAATTTTACTATCAATTCAATAATTATGAATAATTAGGCCATCAAATTAGGTTCAAATAGTATAGTTCGGCTTTAATGATGGCCACATAATATAGTAGTGTCAAATTTCATGTACTTACGTTAATGAAACATAACATTCTGACACAACATTTTATGAACAGAAAGGTGTTACAATGAAGATCAAGAAAGAGATTTTTTTTTTTTTTTGTGAGACGTACGACACTCTGTTTCTTTACCCTGAAATGTCCATCAATGGAAATAGAATAGACCAGCAAGTGAGAAGTGAAGGTTGATTTTGCAGTCTGTGGCATACAGACACTATTCACATTTCAAGCAAACAAAAGGTTAGTGCAGTTTTCATTTTACAAGAGAGAACCTTAAATGTGTGTCTTAAGTCGGGCATAAACCTAACCCATTATTCTGATAGCTCAAAGTTGGGCACCACATTGTACCGAGGGAACAAGTCTTATTTGCGAGACATGTCTTGGCCACACAATAAGCTGCCTAAGAACAACCCTTAGCATTGGTCCAGTGGTTAAGTTTATTTCTCACGTCTCTTATAAGTCAGTCATTCTTGTTCTTTATGAGAGTTATTTTTTAAATTAGCTCAAATTACAATGATCGACTCGGAGTTAGAGTAGTCGACGCAAATTTAAACACCTTATCACAAGAAAATAATAATAAGTTGCCTAAGTTGATAAAGTTATGCTGATAAGATAATAGTAAAAATCATGATCAATAACAGTTAACGGAGGGGTTGATTTGCTAAGTTGTTTGTTTATTGAATCCTAACTGATTAAATTTGTGTCAATCTCGTGTTTTGTTAACTTGTTGTATGGAAACTTGCCCATAACTCTATGCTTGAATATCCAATACTCGATAAAGAGGTTGGCATTGCTTAGGCAACAAAACCTAATGTATGAAGAAGAATATCTCGCAGCCATGAGCTAAATAGCTCTATCACAGAAATTGGATCTTAATCAATTTAGTCACTGAGCCCAGCAATTCCTTGTGTATGCATGCTACTTTGTCCAACAACTAAACTGCAAGTCTCAATTAACTAGCTAGTAACCTATCAGAATAGCTCAGATGGAAAAATTTCACGGGTTACTATTTCAAGACCCAAAGTTTGAGTTTGTTACTCGATATCACTATTGACCCGATACGTGTGATTTATAGGTAATTCTAAATTTACGTCATAACTATGGATATAAAAATAATGCGTGGTTCTTGATAGTGTGTTCTGCATAGCTGACTGGATGTGAATTATCTGAAGATTTGGGGATCACTCGAATGTCCATTCAAAACTTCTAGGCTCTTGAGGGTTGAGTTATCAATTCAATAAGATGACAAAGGACGAAGATGAATAGATAGAAAATTTATAATGGTTTACCAGCTTAGAGGCTTGACTAGTCCACTTTAATAAAGTCTCTTGCTCTTTTGGAGTTTTCAATTAATTGAGGGGAAGGAAATTAGATAGAGTAAATACGTAGATGATTGCTTGATTATAATGTGACGGATTTGATCCCTATTTATAGTCTACAGTTGGCTTGCGTGATCTTTGTCTCTTTTTTGTAACCAACGCTATCCTTGCGTAATTAACGTGATTCCCTTGAGGCTATTGCGACCCATCTACAAGAGTATTTGGTCATTATGGTTTATATTCCTTTGACGTGATTTTTTAAAAGGTGTCAATTGTCGTTATCATCACGTGCACAAAGGTCTTGCTATTGAAGATTCCCGACCTACGCACTCCGAACTAGTAATCATGAATTGTGGGGTCTGAGCTAGTTGGTCCGAGCTTAACTTTGCCAATTTTTAGTATCATATGTTGTAAAAGTTTATATTTAACCCCAAAAAAAAAAAATCGTTAGTCGGTTCGGGCACAATTTCATCTGGTCTACTAACATACAGTAATTAGCAATGCATGAACATTTTTGTATGAACTCTTCCTACCAAATCTTCAGACCAAGCTAATCTCTATCTTTTTCTGCCAAACATTCACTGCAGTACTCTTCTCCACCAAACTCTTCTTGTGCTGATTATATAAAGGAATGAAGTGTTAGACTTTCCCTTAAGTCTCTTTGTATTGTAAAACAGCGTTTTCCTCACAAAGAGCTTCACCAAGAAAATGGCAGCCTTCACTGCTCAAAGCTTGGCTTTAATTTTCGGTCTCTTAGGTGTACTCATTGCTTTCCTTTTCGCATTCCTATGTGAAGTATAATTCTTTATCAACAATGCTAGACACACTATCTTATTGTACCATCTTTGTGCACCATCTTAACAGACACCATTAGAATAATAAGTCTCACAAAATTGATCAAATATTCAATAGTTGTGATTATACTACGTGAGTTGGTGCAGACAACATTATTCATGCTTTATTATCACTAAATATCACTTTTGATTGGTCTGACTTCCGGAAAAAACACTAGAAAAATTTGTAGGTGACCTTTCATGAAATCTTATAATGGATTTGTGTTCAAGAGTTGTGGCTATGACTCTTAAGTTCTATCTCCTCATAACATCTTGGCCGATGATAGATTTACATCTTTAAATAATTTATGTAAAAACTATGTCGTTAGTCAATACAAAATGATTGGAATAAGATTGAATTGAGTTGGGTTGGGTTGGGTTGATATAAAATTATGTTATTCATCATAATTTAGCATTCTTAATTGGCTCTCTTACTGAGTTTTTTTGTTTTTTGGGGTTTACAATTGTCTATAGGGAATATTGTGGCATTCATGGTGTTCCTGGCACCAGTGTAAGCCCCATCTACTTGGAACATCTTAATATTTGCTCATCCATATTCCCCTAACCCACAACTTAATAATAATTGAAATGCTCTCTCTCTCTCTCTCTCTCTCTCTCTCTCCTCACAGGCCTACCTTTTACAAAATCTACAAGAGGAAAACATCGGAAGGGTTTCAATCAATACCATATTCAGTAGGGCTCTTCAGTGCTGCATTATTGCTATATTATGCTTTTCTGAAGACAAATGCATTTATGCTCGTCAGCATTAACGGCATTGGCTGTGTTATAGAAATAATATACCTTCTGTTGTACGTTACATATGCTCCCAAGAAGCTCAAGGTAAAAAACTCTCTCTCTCTCTCTCTCTCTTTTCATATTTTTCTTAGTCTTGCTAGCGAGTTAGTGAAAATACAGAGTTGTTTGCTGAAAATGGCGATGTTTTTGCAGATTTTCACAGTGAGATTGATACTCCTATTCAATGTAGGAGGTCTTGGGTTGATCATGCTAGTCTCTTTCTTCCTCGTCAAAGGCCCCAAGAGAGTGATGCTTATAGGATGGATATGTGCTGTCTTCAACCTTGCTGTATTTGCCGCTCCCCTAAGCATCATGGTGATTCTATAAACATACACTAATAATCCAGCTAGCTCGTTAATATGTAATTCTTTTCTGCGAGTGTACTGCAATATTCAAGAATTACTTTTTAATACCGCACCAAAAGTTATTATTGAACGTGAGATTATGACTCAATCTGGAGAAACTACGACCAAATAGAGTTACTAAGAATCGATCTTAATATTTTAGAATCGATTCCAATTTTTGATTACGGCACCAAATTCGATACCATAGCCTTAACTGTTTTCTGGTAACCTAGTGCTTACTTGCTCTTTTTGTCTTTGCAGAGGCAAGTGATAAGAACCAAAAGTGTAGAGTTCATGCCATTCACTCTATCATTGTTCCTCACCATGTGTGCCACCACCTGGTTCTTCTATGGATTCTTCGTGAAGGATTTCTACATTGCAGTAAGTAAACCAGTGTTATTTGTGTTCCTAGTTCCGCTGCGTCATTTCAGTTCAATAATTATGCTTTTATATAAACAAGCACCCTCTGTGAAAAAAAAAAAAACATTTTTGAGTAGTAATGTTAATGTATATATCTCTGCTGATCTTTTTCTTTTCTCTTTTGGTTGTCTCTTTGTCATTCAATGAACAGTTACCAAATGTTTTGGGATTTTTATTTGGGATCGCTCAAATGATACTGTACCTCATATACAAAAATGCCAAGAACGATAACGAATTGGACTTGAAGCCAAATGGATCAGGGACTACAGATATGAAGTCGAGTTCAGTAGAAATTGATGATCAAAAAGAAGATATGGAGTTGAAGGTTATAGTCTGTGAGGACAAACCAACCAAAGGAAGTGGATTCTAACAAGTTTGGATTGCAGCATTTCAAGATGAAACAGCTTTTAATTTCTCTATAGTCTGTATACTACATAAAAGTTAACTTGTTTTTGACTACCAGAACTTTACTTTAGATGTCTTGAGAGATTGAATAAGAGTACTTCTTTTACTATGTTTACAACTCCTGTCTAAATATCATAAACTATATCTTGTTATTAGAAACTGGTTGTAGAATTGGTTGCTTCTGGTTGTTCATGAGTTTGGTCCAGTTTCTTTCGTTTCCAGGTGCGATGTAGTAGAATCTGTTGGTGGCCCTTTATTTCTCTCCAGAATTAAATATGAGAATTTTTCACAAAAACTATCAAGACCTCTCCACGATCTCTCTCTATTTCTTCTTCACCGATTTTTGGAACCATTTTGACTTTCTTTATGCTCTCTATCTATAAGGACTTTCTAGCCAAAAGATAAAAAAAACGGAAGAAAGAATGAACGAAACTGTTGTGATTATACAGTATTGTTTATTATAAAAAAATAAATAAACAAACAATACAAAAATTTACGTGATTCAACGCAATTATAGCCATCGGAACACGGAAATGCCAATGAGCTCACCTACAAACTTATTAGTCAATCATGGCGGACAATGGCAGAAATCTTTGTTGGATTCTCTGTGTGAAAGTCCAATCATGCTAATGGGCCAGGATGAGTGAAAGTCCAACTCCATCTTCCTAAAAGAAACAGTTTTGGGCCTAAAGGTGCATGGTCAACGAACCAGTCCAATCTAACTGAGTTAGAATTAGTTTAATAATACTATTTTGACTTAATTTGTTAGCATTATTCTTCATTAATATTGAATTAGTGGGACCATGATGAATTAGATTAACGAATTAGGTTGAAGTAGCAATGCGATTTGCGAATTAGTACATACCAAGATTGTGGATCAGTTATTAGTTTCATACCAAGATACCTGGATGGATATTTGAATAAGTAGGGAAAATTCCTATTATCACTAAAGGAGTTCTAGTGAAACTGTTTTAGGCCAAAACTCATTATGAATTCGACAATCTAAGTTATTTTACCAACCAGTTCAAATTAAGCATAATTGAGTTTAAATCATGTTTTGCTGGATTCGTCATTTGTTTGATAGGTTGGGTTAGAGCAATTCCAAAAGGAGTTGTCATCTCAGGGTGTTAAATCATTCATTTGTAATCTTGAACAGTGTTTTGACACTTTTGAATTATTAATCTGCTGTAATGGTAAGTGTCAAAATAGGGTGTCATTTTCATATTTTTATTCATCAATCTATATGAATCTTTGGATCTATATTCATCTAATGGATCGATCTATATTCATCAACTTATTTACAATCTCTTCTTTTTTTTTTCTCCAAAGTTGCCAAAAATATCATCCCAAGAATTTTAATAATGTTTTCCCACCTCATATACCACCCCTTAAGTGAAATTTTTTGATTTTGGAGTGACATGGGATTGCCCCCCC